GTCACTTAATATTATGCTTACAGTCCCTTAAAGTGTTAAATATTATCAGATCTTGGTTGGAGGAACAGCTGTTCATGGAGGGTCGCTTAATATTATGCTTACAGTCCCTTAAAGTGTTAAATATTATCAGATCTTGGTTGGAGGAACAGCTGTTCATGAACAAGTTCAATCTAGAAAATCCTACAGGATAGAGGACATGAAGGTGAAGATTCTTTCTACAATGTTTTTACAGGGGTGTATATTTCCCTGGAAAATCCTTTTTCCCCCCTCTTTTTAAAATCATTTTTCCCCCACAAGTTAGGCATATGTTTGCGAGTACCGAGTTATTTTTTGCTGGGTTTTATTCGAAGAAATGGAGAAAATAAATGATTTATGAGAAAATAAACAAAGTTTTGGTTAAAAGTATGGAATAAATGAAAACTAGTCTTTTCTTGTCCAATTTCTCATTTTTTTTTCTTTCCAGGTCTCTATAAATCATTTCCTTCTCCCAGGTGTGTGTAATTCTTAAAAATATACACCTTTGTATTTTTACAATATTAAGAGGTGGTTTCAAGAAGATCAAAATCTTGAAATTTATATGGTAATTCGTTCCGTTTAGTCCCTTTTGAATTAAGATTTAGATTTTTTTGAAGTACTCTAATGAGTGGGTTGGGGGAGACTACCTCCTGGAATATTGGGGTGAAGTCCCCCTCTCTGGGGTCAAGGGCACAAACAGCACCCTAATATTGATTTTAAGAATGGATAAAAAAATTCAATTGGTCATCTGTAAATTTATCGAAAAATGCTTCTCCTTACCACCCTAATTTCATTTGATAGATTGTTTTCCAAGTCTTTAGATTTAAATAGAGATTTTAGAATAATTTTAATTTTTCAGTGTACCTCCTCATAATATTAATTTTCTGATTTTTACAAAATATTTTTAGGAGGATGATGAGGAAACAGTGGTCCTGTTCAGTAAACATGATGATAATATCAGTCTTAACTCCGACTGAAGAATTCTAAGATCAAGCAAAGATCAAATGTGGCTCTGTTCTGTAAACATGATAATATCAGTCTTAACTCAGACTAGATAATTCTAAGATTAAGCTCAGATCAACTGTAGCTCTGTTCAGTAAACATGATAATATCAGTCTTAACTCGGACTAGATAATTCTAAGATTAAGCTCAGATCAACTGTAGCTCTGTTTAGTAAACATGATAATATCAGTCTTAACTCAGACTAGATAATTCTAAGATTAAGCTCAGATCAACTGTATCTCTGTTAAGTAAACACTAATATAAGTCTTAACTTCAACTAGATGATACTACGATTTAGCTCAGATCATCTCTAGTGCTGACAAAATAATACTTAAGTTAAGGCTAACATAAACGTCGAGATAATCTCCATTCCAAATAAATATTAAGTCATGAATGGTTATTTCCACAAGATCTTCCAATTGTTTTAAATTCCAAGTAAATTTCACATTTTCATTATTCCTTAGCCAGAAGCGAATTATTGATTTAGGTAGTATTCGACAAATTAGTGAGGTATATTGCAATATTTAATAGAGTTTTTTTTATGGTTTACAGTACAGTACAGTACAGGAATGTACATATTTCAGAAATATTCTCGTCATCTACTGAGGAACATTTTTAACATCTAAGCATAAGAAGAGGATAAATACTTCTGAAAAATAGATAACCCTTATTTTTTTCTAATTTACTGGAGATAAGATCTCGTATATTCAAAGCAAATTTTGATTTTTTTCTGTGATATTTTAACATTACAAGTACTAATGCTGAGTTTCTGGTTTGCGTAGGTTATGGCATATTTTTTGTATGATCTTTGTAGTTTTCAGATATTTCAACCTTGAGTATAACATGCTTGTATTTATGTGTTAGTGTACAGTATATATCCCAACCTACCTTTTTTAACCTGACACCCCTTCTGTTTTGCTCCCAACCCCCTTCCCCCCCCTGGCTCCATTATTTTAATCCTGCAACCCGCTAATTTTATTTAAAGTTAACATTCTCAAGCTAAAAAAGTTCTTTTAAAGAAAAAAAATTGCAACATTTTAAGATTTAAAAGATCCCCTCACAGCTCAGACCAATCATAACATTTTTTGTAATAAAGAACCAATTTAACTATTTAAATAACCATGAAAAAAATATCTCTTGGTTATTTTTGACGAAAATTTTTGAATTTGGATAAATCTAGTTTAGTCTATTAAATAGTTGTTTCTAACTGAATATTTTTCAGAAACCAATGGTAAATTCATCAGCTCTGATTCCTTAACGAATACTCCCTTCAAGCGTGCCAAAACCAAGGAATGCGTAGAGTAAGGCTGGATTTCTATTTCTGGTGGAATATCGTGGTCGTATCTTTACTCTTAATTTTCTTCTATCTTTTTCTTTTCTATCTATAGAAAATGTATTCATGTGATGCTTGTGACTATTCAACACAGTACAAGGGGGATTTAAAGAAGCATATCATGTTTCATGAAGGAATTAAGAAGTATATATGTGATAACTGTGGTTTTAAATTTACTACTTCAAGTGATCTCAAACGCCACATGAGAACTCATGAAAATGTGAAAGATTTTATCTGTTCATTTCGAAGTTGTGGATTTTCTACGAGTCGAATAGAAAACCTTGTTAACCATGAATCTACACACACTAGTCTAGAAGCAAGGCTTACCCATCCCTGTCATCTATGCACAAAATACTTCTCTAGTCGAAGTATTCTGAACAGACACATGAAAACCTGCTCAAAACCAATGAACCCCATTCTCCCTAAAGAAGCTGTGAACACAAAATGTGAAATCTGTGATAAAGTATTTTCAAATATTTACAAATTACGCCAACACCAGAAAAACCACAGCAAGGAACTAGGTAAAAAATTACTTTTTCAATCTATTTCGAACATTTTTTTTAATTTGTTTTTTTTTCTGTTCTAGATTTTGTTTGTGAAACCTGTGGAAAATCCTTTGGAACAAATGAATCTTTACTGAAACATAAACCATTGCACTTGGATAAAAAGTTTTCTTGTGATCTCTGTGAAAAAGCATTTGCTCGAGCTGATTACTTGTTAAAACACAGAAAAACTCACTTAAAGGTTAAGTCGAGAGAAGAATTTGGCTGGAGCAGTGCATCCCATGAAATTCAGGTTTGCTGCATATTTTTACATTGTGATGGCACTTAATTTTGACCCTTTTCTTCAGTTCATTGATCAAAGGTAAAAACTTTATAATAGTGGATATCGAGATTAATGCTTGATCCTCACTTTTTCTTAATATCGAGACTAACTTAATCTAGTACTTGTATCCTGAAAAGTGTATAAAATTTAACCAATCAGAGTTGTATCTAAAAAGCCGATAAATTTGAAATATTGCGCGCCATTTAAGATTAATATACAGAATCGGGAGGGACTCTCTAATTTTAAAAACTGGTTTGTGATTTTTCTCTACTATATCCAAGAAAGAACGATTTAAAAAGAAAATCAAAAGTGTGTCCATTGGATACTCAGATTAAGAAATCGGGATTAAGGATAGCTCATTCTAAATCCTGATCTGTTAATTAATCCGGTGATTAATAACATGAGGAGAACAAGCAACATTTAATCTGGAGATTAAGAAAAAGAGGAGATCAAGCATTGATCTCGGTATTCACCATTCTAAAAATTTCAGCACTGGTTCCCTAAAGAGACTGTAAGCATAATTTCAAGTAACCCTCCATTCAAAGATGACAATGCCTGATTTAAAACAGTAGCCTTAAACAGTACCCTTAAACAGTACCCTTAAAACCTTTGTCTGAGAAAGTATGAATTAGATATCTGTAATTGTGTTTTTTTAAACTGTTCATTTTTATATACGGCTTCTCTCCGAAAGTGACTGGCACATCTCTGCATGAAAGGTCACTTGAAATTACGCTTACAGCCGCTTTAACCCTGACAGAAAATGTTAAATTGTTAAATTGCCATTTTAAAGTTTATTCATTCAGAAAAGCACTGTAAAATATTTAGATAAATGCGGAGGGCTGTGATCTGGGTGACAAGGAGCTAGTATTTATTCCTAACTATTCACATGAAGTTGTTATCGCTCAGGAAAATGCATTCGTCAAATTTACTAAAGTACACTTTCGAAAGAATAGAAATTTTTATAATTTTCGAAGGAAAGATTTCAAAGATGATTAATTCAATTCAATACTAAATATTTACGAAAGGTTGAAACTAATTGACATTTGATAAACATGCTCAAATCCACTCTACATTCAAATAAATCATTTGAGAATACTTTTTATATAACTTTCAAACTCATTCAGATTTTTGCTTTTTTTTTGCAAAAATNTGCTCATCTTTTGATACCTATATTGACAATAAATATGTAAAAAAAAAAAAATATTGACCAACCCTTACGATCTCTGTTTAGTGTTTATTTCACGCGTTAATAACTGAATGAGTTTAGACTTTTAAAAAAAATCTTTTACAAATGTTGCTTATTATTTACTACAGTATATTTCTTTCCTTGTGCAAAAAGGAATTGACATTTTTGATGAAATAGTTTTACCCTTAATTTACTTAATTTACTTAATTAACTGGATTAACTGAAAAATGAAATAAAACTGATTTTTTTGTTAAGGTGCGCTCTTTACCTTTCGGAAACCTTCTTAATAATTCAGATAAATTTTATTAGGTAAAAGTAAAAAGCTGTGCTTATGATCCGGATCCAAGGGCCAAATACCTGCCAGAAGCTTAACAAAAATGTTTGCTCTCAAACCCCAAATCTGGACTGTTAAAAAAGAGAGATTACACTAAAAATGGTGAACATCAAGTTTTAGCTTAAAAATTGGTAAAAAAAAGAAGAAAAATAATTTGAAAATTCTTCTTTTTAATTATTTTTTTTAACCCAGTAAATCTTCAAGAAAGATAAAGATCCGGATTTGGATACGGATCCGCATCCGTATAAAAATGTAAAGGATCCTAAGCACTGGAATCATGTCTCCGTTCTTATGATGATCATGGTTAATGGTTACAGTGATGGCAATGGTTTTTATATTTTGAAAGAACGCATTACCATGATTCAGGTTGAGGAGAACACTGAACAAGAAGAATCAGAAGACCAAGAAGAACAAATCTACTATTTAATTATTTAAATCTTTAACTAAAAATCTGTAGTCGTAAAATTTAATTTCAGAATTGCAAGTATGGCGACCTCGAAAATATTATTAAAATCTATTCTACAAAATAATAAGATATTAATTTCGAGGAATTTTTCTTCTTCTACATGCAGATGTGCCAGGTGAAACATTGTTTTAAAGAGACTTAAAGCGTAATTTCAAGTGACCCTCCGTGGAAAGATTGTAACGCCCGATTTACAACGGTATCCTTAAAACCTTTATCTGGTCAATAATGTGAAAGATGTTGTCGTTTTAGTGTTAAATTCTGACAAATGTTTACCTGCAGTAGAAATCGCATGTTAATTTTGTAGAGAAACCCAAATTGATAATAATCAGCTTTCAATAGACATTGATATCTGATTTATATTTTGATCAGATAACACTATAAAGGGTATCGTTGTGAATCGGGGATTGGAGGGTAAATTGAATTAACGCGAACAATCACTTTCACTCCGGAGTGGTTTGGAAAAGTAAAAGTGCACCAAGGATGGACTAAAATAATTTAATTTTAAACCGTCATGTATATTAGGGGGGGTGGGGGTAGTGAATTTTCATAAATAAAACCATTTGCTTGAAATCATTACGGCGAAAGTCAATTCTTATGTAAAAAACAGTTCTAAGAACAATTTCTTTTATGATACTTTTTGAAAAGAGGTCGTCTGTGTTAGCTAACTGGCGCTGCAAGTTTTGACCTTCATGTCTTTTTCTGAGATCTGTGACACAATACAAATGCTTCCAATCATTATGGCGATAGTCCATTTCTATGCAAAAAAAAAACAATTCTAAGAACAAATTCTTTTATGACAGTTTTTGATTAGAGGTCGTCTTCATTAGCTAACGGGCACTGCAAGTTTTGACCTTTATATACCTTTTTTCTGAAATCTGTTATTTCACAATATGCAAGCATTATGCTTACAATATTCACGGCGATAGTCATTTCTACTGTAAAAATCAATTCTAGAAACAATTTCATTTATGATACTTTTTGATTGGAGGTCGTCTTCTTAAGCTAACGGGCACTAATATTTTTTGACCTAAATGTACTCTTTTTCTGGATCTGTGTGACATTTAGCATAAGAAGACGACCTCCAATCAAAAAGTGTTATAAAAGAAATTGTTCTTAGAATTGTTTTTAACATTAGAAATGCCTATCGCTGTAATAATTGGAAGCTTATTGCATGCTCATTGCGAAATCACCAATCTCAAAAAAGAGTACATTTAGGTAAACAATTGGAGTGCGAGTTAGCCAACAAAGACGACTTCCAATCAAAAAGTGTCATAAAAGAAATTGTTTTTTATTGGCCTTTCACATAAGAGTTGACTAACGCCGTAATAATTTAAAGCATATTGCATGCTTATTGCGAAAAAAAAACAGATTTCAGATATAGGTCAAAACTTGCAGTGCCCGTTAGCTAATGAAGACGACCTCAAATCAAAAACGTACCTAAAATAATTTGTTCTTCTAACTGTTTTTTTTACATAGAAATGAATTATCGCCGTAATTATTGAAAGCATTTTTCTTGTGTATTGCGAAATCACAGATCTCAAAAAAAGAGACATAGAGGTCAAAACTTGCAGACTTGCAGCTAACGAAGACGACCTCCAATCAAAAAGTGTCACAAAAGAAATTGTTCTTAGAATTGTTCTTCACTAAAGAATTGACTTTCGCGATTGAAGGGGGGCATAATTAGTCTGCAAGACCGTCAAATACATAACACGGGTTCTGAATGTAATGAACACACAAGGAAATAATGTTATATTGTTAAAACATAAAAATACAACTTAAACGGACCCATACATTTCTCCAGCCAAGGGTATTTTCAATAATGATTTATGATGATTTGGGAAATAAATTTAAAGTTGGAAATAACAATTATTTTTCAGAAGTTGATTTATAAAATATTAATAATCATTAATTATCCAGTTACAAGTCTGAACCATGGGAAGAGATCTATACAGCTCATGAAATTGGTAGGTTTCAATTTTCCTTTTAACTTAAAGCAAAATGATTACCAATATTACTATTTCGAATTTTAAAAAAATATATTTTTAAAAATCAAAAGTTTTTAGCCTATGTTACCCCCCGCCAATTTGATCACGCCTTTTGGCCAGCTCACATATTAATATACAAATATTGCTTCGCGCCCATCTTCTATTGCAACTTTTAACTGTGGCTTTATCTCTGAACATCTTCTCTTTGTACAGTATAAAACAAAAATAAAAAAAGTTTGCGGATTTCATAATATTTTTTCGCACAATTTCAAAATTTTACAAGAATAAGAAACTTTTAAACCCAAATTTTTAAAATTTTGATAATTCATAAACCTTCCTTGCTAAATTTATGTATAGATATATGTATACTAGGCTTTTAGGGCGCTTCGCGCCCATCTTCTATTTAAATTGTGAACATGTTCTTTTTGTCTTAAAACAAAGAAGAAAAAATTTTGCGGATTTAAAAAAAAATCGCGGATTTTCAAGAATTTAAATTTTTTACAAAATTAAAAACCTTTAAAACACATTTTTTAATTTTTATAATTCTTAAACCTTCCCTGTGGTCACGTGATGTCCCACAAAAAATTTGGGCCCGATCGGTTCAGCCGTTTTGACGGTTATTGGATACAACAAACAGACAGACACCAAGACAAGCCAAATTTATATATAGATGAGCGAAGAGCCTTTTATAGATTAAATTAACAACATAATTCCAATTTTGGTTTCTACAAACATGCTTTTTAAGAAACATGGTTAGTAAATAAAAATGTAGCGAAGCCGAAAGCAGATGGAAAAGGTTACGCAGCATTCGGAATTTGTGGGAAACTAACAATAATAACTAATATTTTAGATCCGACTGAACCAACCTTTGGTAAAATATTAATTGCCAACCGAGGAGAGATAGCTTGCAGAGTAATCAGGACTTGCAGAAAAATGGGTAACACATATATTTAAAAAATTATTACAAAAAAGTTATTCATACTAGATTTTAGTTCTTCAAATAATTTTGACTGCTAAAGATCGTCGTGAGACATTTTGTTATGAAAAATTCTTTTTTAGATAAAACGTGAAGTTTATGAAATAATTTGAATTATGTATATTCAACATTACAAACGTTTAACATTGAATGTTGTACTGTAATAACCAGAAAACCGTAGAATAACTGCCGGCTTCATTATATCTGTTTTTTGTTATTTGTAACTGTACAGTTTCTACTAAAATGTGCAAGACAAATTCAATTAGAAATAGCCCTGTTGCGAATCATTCTAGAACCTCACTCTGTTCTCGCGAACAATGTTTAAAAAACTTATTTCCTGAAATGAAATGATATCTAGGAATTAAGACCGTGGCAGTACACAGTGTAGCGGACAGTATGGGTCTGTTTGTGAAAATGGCGGACGAAGCAATTAACATCGGTCCTGCTCCAGCCAGGTATACTAGTTATGTTCAGGGAATCCTATAAAATCCAATAATGTTCAGTGAATCCTACTAAATCTAGTAATGTTCAGGAAATCCTACTAAATCTAGTAATGTTCAGGAAATCATACGAAATCTAGTAATGTTCAGTAAATCCCAATAAATCTAGTCATTTTCAGGGAATCCTATAAAATCTAATAATGTTCAGTGAATCCTACGAAATCTAGTAATGTTCAGGGAATCCTACCAAATCTAGTAATGTTCAGGGAATCCTACCAAATCTAGTCATGTTCAGGGAATCCTAATAGATCTAGTAATGTTCAGTGAATCCTACTAAATCTAGTAATGTTCAGGGAATCCTACGAAATCTAGTAATGTTCAGTGAACTAGTAATGTTCAGTGTATCCTACTAAATCTAGTAATGTTCAGTGAATCCTACTAAATCTAGTAATGTTCAGTGAATCCTAATAAATCTAGTCATGTTCAGGGAATCCTACGAAATCTAGTAATGTTCAGTGAATCCTACTAATTCTAGTCATGTTCAGGGAATCCTACCTAGTAATGGAGAAGATTCTGGACGCTGTTAAACAAACTGGAGCTGAAGCTGTTCATCCAGGAATATAATTGTAATATTAATCAATAACTAAAATTAACACATTTTTTCATTTTATCGTGTCCACTGAAACGTTTTAAAATTATGCAGCTAATATTTGTAAAGGTTTGCAACTCACTCCAACAGAATATGGAAATATAAAAATTCAGTTTTTTTACTTAATTTTCCTCAACTTAGTTTACTTAAATAAAAGGACTAACTTTTAAATCTAAATCGTATTCTTAATTTAGATAATTTTTTGTCCATTTAGGATTCTTTAATCTGTTGGTATTTAGGATATTAAGCTACTTACCTTGCATACTACATAGTACATACATAGTTACATCCAACTTCACTCTTAATGTTTGTCAGAACCGCGCCGGCGAAAGAGGATAGTATCCAGAGAATTAATTTCAAAAAATAGCTCAAACAAATAGAAAAAACAGTTCTATTTGTTTAGATGTAATTTTAATATAATGCTCTTTAAGTCGCAGTTTAAAATGAAATTGGATTGAAAAAAAAAATGAAAAATTCTTGAAAACAAAAAAACTCCAAATTTGATTCCTGTGTTATTAACATTGTTCACCATCATTCCGGTGTTATTTACTGTGTTCAGTACTGCACAAAGTCCAAAAGTTGCAGAAATACAGGGCTGAAGCATGATATACATATTGAGGGAAGTTTACATTGTATATAATGATCAGGATATGGATTTTTATCTGAGAACACCCTGTTTACATTCTATAGAGTTCAATATGGGGGGGACTCCCCCCCCCCATATTGAGAAAAGTTTACATTGTATATAATGATCAGGATATGGATTTTTATCTGAGAACACCCTGTTTACATCTATAGAGTTTAATATGGGGGGGACTCCCCCCCCCATATTGAGAAAAGTTTACATTGTATATAATGATCAGGATATGGATTTTTATCTGAGAACACACTGTTTGTAGCAGAGTTAGAAAAGGCTGGTGTCAAGTTTATAGGTAATATTATTGGGTACATTTTTTTCTTCAGAATTTTTTTAAAACCCAATTTGGACACCTTATGGCGAATTAATCCTTTCATGTAAATCATTGGTTACATTGGTTAATTGCTTAATTTTGTTTAATCAGTTTTTTTGCTTCAAAAATATCTGCTGAGTTTTAATTTAAAAAATAAAATCCTATAAGTTTTTTTTCTGTAAGAAGGAAAACAGTTTGCATAATGGAACTAGTAAAACATTTTGTTTAAATTACATGATGTATTTTCACCATTGCTGAAAATATAAATTTATTTATTTTGTATCATCTTCACGATAAATTCATCCTTTTCGATCACTCTAAACCTAAAAGGTTTCAATGGATGGTTGGGTGTAAAATTAAACAGCAACAGCTAATGTATCAAGGAGGCTCAATATTATTTCAGAAATTAGACATAAAAAATTCATGGCTTTATTTATATTCCTTAAAAAAAAATTAAAATCTATTTCTATCATATTGCAAAAATCTAACCAAATAGAAATAAAAAATAAAAAACCTGTTTAGGTCCTAATAGCAAAGCAATCTCTGAAATGGGAGACAAGTTGGCCAGTAAACGATTGGCAACCCAGGTAAAATTTTAGTTTAGTCTTTTTGCTTGTTTTTTTATGGTTTTTTGCACATTTTTCATTTTAATCTTTATTATGCATCTTGGATTATAGATTGTTCATCTTGAATCCCGGATCATACATTTTAAATTATACATTTTGAATCCTGGATTATAGATTGTTAATCTTGAATCCTGGAACATACATTTAAGATTATACAATTTGAATCCTGAATCATACATCTTGGATTAGAGATTCTTCATCTTGAATCCTGGTTCATACATCTTGGATTATAGATTGTTCATCTTGAATCCTGGATCATGCATCTTGTATCATAGATTGTTCATCTTGAATCCTGGATCATGCATCTTGTATTAAATATTGCTCATCTTGAATCCTGGATCATGCATCTTGGATTAGAGATTGATCATCTTGAATCCTGGATCATGCATCTTGGATTAGAGATTGATCATCTTGACTTCTGGATCATGCATCTTGGATTAGAGATTGATCATCTTGAAACCTGGATCATGCATCTTGTATTATAGATTGTTCATCCTGAAAACCGGATCATACATCTTGGATTTTTAATCATGCATTAAAAAGATATATGTCATGAATTTTGAAACCTAATCAGTGATCGCTCATCACGGAGCTTGCATCGTCTTCAATCTTGACTTAATGTTGTCCTGTTCATTTCAAGGACAAGCAACTTGAATTCTAATCAGTGATCATAAATTATTCATCTTTGACTCCAGATCATACATAAATATTACATACGACTGATTTGATTTATTAGACTTGTAATCTGGCATAATGCCGAGTGTCCATGTGATAGGGTTAAAAAAACTCAAAAATCAAACTAAAAATGAAAAGGTCAAGTTTTTTAGCATGCAAACGTCTATCACTAGCTGTAAGCACATATGCATCTTCCTTGATTTAGGAAGGTCATCTTGGGGTTGAAATGTGGTTGGTTAGGGCGTCCCTAAGACGATTTGATTTGATCTGATCTGATCTGATCTGATCTGATCTGATCTGATCTGATCTGATCTGATCTGATTTGATTTGATTTGATTTGATTTGATTTGATTTGATTTGATTTGATTTGATTTGATTACATCATGGGTACTTATATCCAGCTCTTTATCTTCCTGTAGGCTGGTGTGAATGGTATCCCTGGCTATGACGGTGTTATAGAGGATGCTGATCACTGTGTTGCTCTGAGTAAGGATATCGGATATCCAGTCATGGTTAAAGCTTCAGCTGGAGGAGGTAAACTTATCCAGATCTGTCCTGTAAATAGAAAAAAGTGTAAAACGGCCATTTTATTGTACTGTTTCCATACTGCAGGTGTACTTCACATATTCATGCTATATAACCTGTTGGGCCCTGGAATATCATTTTATATAAAATCTAAAATTATTGTTAAAAGAAAACCAAATTAATTATGGAATAGGCTGGTTTCATAATTGACCAATGATCCTTTCACATAGACTCTATGCATTCAACTTTACAAACGATTATTTTCCAATATAATTAACTATAAATCAAATGATGTTTTTTATTCACCTAATTCATTATAAAGTTTATTTAACAGTTTAAAAAATTCGAAATTGAAATGAATTGTCCAGGACACAATTCCTAACAGCCAATCAAAAGCCGGTAAATTTTGAAATTTTGCGCGCCATTTAATCAGAGAACTCTTATCGGTGGGAATGCAGTATGGAATAGGATATTCAAATAAAAGAGGGGGAAAGAGCGGATTAAGCAGAAATCAAAAGTGTCCACAGTGGATATTCAGATTAAGCGATCAGTTATAAGGATATCCAATTCTAAAGTTTTCAGCTCAGAGGTCGAAACTGATGTATTTTTAATCCCTTGAGAAACCTCTGATCCGTGTCTTCGTGGTCCGAAAAAAATGATATATTTTTTTACGATCTTTAAAGGACATCTAATATATAGGTAAAATTCAAGTCAGCAGCGTAATCACAGTTTAAGCTCTTAGTTGCATAATAAAAATATTCCACTGTGGGTATCTAGTGTAGTTATTATAGACTAGCGCATTTTTATAGTTCTTACCTCAGATATTCAGCAAAAAATTTAAATTCCCTTTCTTAATTCATAAATAAATTCTATGCGATTCGTGATGTAAATCTTTAATTTATACGTGTTGTTAAAAAAAAACTGGATAAATAATCAAATATCTGTTAATGAATCTGAATCCGCGTCAAAATTAATTATTTTTGTTATTTTCATATGTAATTTCTCCTTCTAGGTGGTAAGGGTATGAGGATAGCTTGGAACGACGACGAGGCAGCTTTAGCATTCCGTCTGTGCAGTGAGGAAGCCAGGTCTTCTTTCGGAGATGATCGGATGATAGTCGAGAAATTCGTGGATTCTCCTAGACATATTGAAATACAGGTAGAGTTTATAGTGCAATATTTGATATATGTATATATAATGAATCGATCGTTTTTGAAAACGATCGTTTCATTTTTAGTTTTTTCGTGGTCGTTTTCAAAACGAAGCGATCGTTTTAAAAAAAANGGATCCGGATCCAGAAAGCCAAAATCTTGCGGATCCAACGGATCCGGATCCTAAGCACTGAATATATATATATTATATATTTATTAATAAGCATCTATCTAGATGTTGGGTGATAAACATGGAAACGCAATCCATCTGAATGAACGAGAATGTTCTATCCAACGAAGAAATCAGAAAGTTATTGAAGAAGCTCCAAGTCCTTTCCTAGATCCTGCTACAAGAGCTGCAATGGGAGAACAGGTTTTTTAATTTAAAATCGCAATTATTCTAGAAATCCCCCCTCCCCACCACTCCTGACTTTATGTACCTTCCATTTAGTACTTGGACCGTTTCACAAGCTTTGTAAGAATAAAGCTAAATAAGATATTCATGTTTTTTACCTAAAAAAATTACGATGACTTGCAAAAATACAAAAGTTTTACAATAACAGACAAAGTTAAATATACATGTATATAATATATTTTTAATACAGAAACTTTTTTAGACAATAAAAACACTATTTTTAAAGATTTTTCCTTTAGACTTTTTTGATAAATGACTGTTAACCCATGTTTATTGATCAGGCTATCCAGTTGTCTAAAGCTATAGTTCATCAAATGATAAGATCAGCTTACGGTCATCCTCTACATCTTAAACAGGAGGATATAGGGTAAGAATATAGTCTGTAGTTTACAATCACAAAAAATTAAAAAATTATCAACCATCGTCCCGTAGAAGTCAGGATTAAGCTCTTTTCTAAACGCACCACCATTTTGTTGGCAGGGCGTAACTGGCTGAAAAATCAGTCCCTCCCTCCATTTCAAAAATATAGTCCTTCCGCCCCCTCCCCCACTATGTTGACATGGGGGGGAGTGTACCAATTATTAGGAAACTTATAAAAACCGCAGGAATAAAAAGACTTTAAAAACCACACATAATATTTCAATAATTTTGTTTTTTCTATATAATAAAGCTCTTCGCTTATATATGTTAGCTGTAGTTGGCCAAATGGCTGGATAAAATTAACATTTTTGAGGAAATCCAAATTATTTTCCGTCAAAATTTGAATATATTTTAATTCCACGGGCAACACCGGGCACTTCATCCGCTATTTATAGTATAAAGCTCTCCGCTTATAATAATCATGTATATGTTAACTATAGCTGGTCACACTGCTGTGTGCCAAATTGGCCGAATTTATCTTAGGGAAACCCATGGTACCCTGGGCGGTTAACTAAGCTAAGAGAAAATGACTTTTTTCAATATTTTATTTCAAATTCTACAGACAACGTCTGGTTTTTCAGTTAGTTTAACATATGGACTGACATAGTTAGAATTTTAAAGGAAAAAGCGCTCATGACCTTTTTAGAAAGATTAATTTTTAGGATCCGAGGTTGGGCTTTTGAGAGCCGTGTTTATGCAGAAGATCCATTTAAAAACTTTGGAATGCCTTCCATTGGTCGTCTTCATAAATACGAGGAACCCAGAAATATTCCAGGAGTTAGATGCGACTCAGGTCAGATTAGATTTGGTTTGGTTTGGTTTGATTTGGTTTGATTTGTTTTGGTTTGATTTGGTTTGGTTTGGTTTGGTTTGATTTGATTCCATTCCATTTCATTTCATTTCATTGATTCCATTTCTTTGAATTCATTCTAATTAATTAATACCATTCAATTTGATACCATTTGATTTTTACTTTTTTTGCTCAATGAATGTTTGGTGCAGTCATTGAAAAGGGATCAGAGATCAGTATGTTCTACGATCCTATGATCTGTAATGATAGTTTGGTGCAGGTATTGAGTAGGGATCACAGATCAGTATGTGTTACGATCCTATGATCGGTAATGATTGTTTGGTGTAGGTAAAGAGCAGGGATCAGAGATCAGTATGTTCTACGATCCTATGATCTGTAATGATTGTTTGGTGCAGGTAAAGAGTAGGGATCAGAGATCAGTATGTTCTACGATCCTATGATCGGTAATGATTGTTTGGTGCAGGCATTGAGGAGGGATCAGAGATCAGTATGTTCTACGATCCTATGATCTGTAAGCTGACCTGCTACGGGGCGACTAGGGAGGATGCTATCGCTACCTCAGTAAATGCTCTGGATCACTATGTTATTCGAGGTGAGATTTATTCTAATCTGCATTATTTTTATTATTATTTAATTCGAGGTGAGATTTATTCTAATCTGCATTATTTTTATTATTATTTAAATCTTCTTTATTAGTATTATTATTATCATTATTATTATTATTATTATTATTATTATTATTATTATATTAATTTCCATTATGGATCTCAAGATAATTTATAGCGGCGACAAAAAAAAACTAGTTCAGAGCTAGGGAATTTTGTATTGGATACTCATAATGCTGATCGCTTGATTTCGATATCCACTGCGGGCAGTTTGAGGATCAATGCTCAATCTTCCATTCAGTTATTTGTACAGGGTACGAGAAATATCGAATAAATATTAAATTAATCTGCAAATGTACAAAAGATTGAGACCAAAAGTTTTCAGCTCAAGTTTTCCCATTTATATGATCGTGTCAGGCCAGTTTTATTGTAAAATTTGTAAATAATTCTTTCTTAAATACGTAGGATACAACACTCTGGCATTTATTTGATCAAAGCTGGTTGTTTTCAAGATGGTTAATATTTATCAGCTAAAGAATTTTTTTCTTAATTCCTATATCTTTGCAACCTGATGACTTTGATATTTCAAACTTTTGATTGTTTGATTTAGGAGAATTAATATTTTGAAGTATCAAAGGTTACTAGTTCAGATTGCAAAGATTAATGTGTTGGAAAATTAGAGTCAGGGGTTAGACTCAAATTATTATTTGGGGAACTCGGGAGAACCATGGGAATGTTCTTAGCTTGGTTTTGAGATTAAAGTTGAGTGAGTCGACTTTTATTGGGAAAAAATTGCTAAAATCGTAATTTACGACAAGAGGCGGGTGAACAGTGGGACTAGCTATGACGGGCAAAGATGGGTTCCCAAGCTAGTATGATAAATATTTCAGGTGTAACTCATAATATTCCTTTACTCCGGGATGATAAATATTTCAGGTGTGACTCATAATATTCCTTTACTCCGGGATGTCCTGACAGAAGATGTATTTAACTCCGGAGTATTTACTACCTCATATCTACCTCAAACATACCCGGACGGATTCAAGGGAATAAATCTTAACGAAAAGTAAGTTTTAAAATAAATTATAAAGGAACTGAGTTTTTGCCACTAACTCTGATTTTCTAATCCCTATATCATTGCAACCCAATGTCGTAGACCTTTGATATTTCGAACTATGAACTGTGTTAGTTTGAAATATCAAAGGTTTTCACCATCAGATTGCTCTAGGGATTAGAATATTTGAGTTTGTGGCAAAAACTTTGTTCCTTTGTAGATTTGTAAAATAGTTGTGATTTTTATATTAGTAGACTGGANCAACCATCCATCTCTTTCTTTTTTCTGAGAAGAGCAACCCCCGTGACTATCTATCTATCTCAACCGGGTGTGGCGTTATTTCTGGGTAAACGTTAAATAATGGTAGTAGATTCTACGCAGCAAATTTTCCGCGGCGTCCGCGCATATTTTTGCAGTTTACGGCAATGCGCACAACAGAAATCTGGAACTTTATCTGAAATTTCAAAACTACAAATTATATTTATAATATATGCTGATATATAATGTGAGTACAGAAGCAATTAAATTTACATTAAACTCTCATTAGTTGCAAGTATCAGAATCTTAACAATTAACTTACGTAAACTAAGCTAGAATATCGATCCCTAATGTTAAAACAATTGATTTGTACTGTCTGTCGCTCAGCAAAACTTGATTGATTCTCAAATATGAGAAATACTTTCACTTAATTTACTGTTTGCATTCACAGAATTGTGCGCGAATGCCGCGGAAAATTTGCTGCGTAGAGTCTACTACCATTATTGGACGTTTAACCAGAAATAACGCCAAACTGCAATAGTTTAATCACGGGAGGGGTCTCTTTTTCAGACTGTAGGGGCAGAAGAACTATGACAGGAGGGGGCCATTACTTAATCAGATGATTTAAATTAATATTTTAGGGAGAAACTAGAAGTTGCTAGTTTAGCTGCTATCTGCTATGCCAAGGTAAACATTTTGGACATTACATGAAATAGACATTTATTACATATTTTACATCATATATAAAGGACATTTCATAGATTCATGAATATATATTTTATAGAGCATTACAGAGATGGGATATTACATCTATATGCATAGTACATAGAAAGGACATTTTACGAAATTTCATGCTAAGGATATTTCTATGTTTTTTCTTCAAATATTTGACGCTTCGTATAGCTTAGACATGGAACACATGTCCCAAACTATTATTTTAGAATCATCTACTCTGGTTTGAATTCTAAAATTCCAAAATGTTTATGACTACTTGAAATTACAAAATCTTACAAAATTACACTTGTTATTTGGAGTTATTACTTTTTGCCCAACAATGGGAATTAGGGTTTTCAGCGAACGAAAACTTTCGTATTTTTCGCAAAAAATGTATGCGATAAAATGCTCAACTATGCGAAAATTATTTTCGCGAAGAAAAGTTTCTTGCGCAATTAATTGCGCAAAAAAACTTGTGGAAATTTTCGCATTTTTCGCGTGCAAACGAAATGTGAAAAATAATTTTTTCGCAAACAATCTGAAATTTTCGCAAAACGATTTCCCCTTTTCGCTGGAAACCCTAATCGGAATTGTCTGTTCAGGAAAGTCTGAGAGCGAACAACCGTTTAACTGACACGATGGTCCGGAATTATCGACCTTTGACCTCCTGGGAACTAGAGGTCATGGTCAAAGGAGAAAGTATCCCATTGACTCTTCACAAAGGAGACTCCTCATACAGGTAGAGAGGGGTGTACATTTTATTGAAAAATTTCCTTTTTTCCCTTTTGAAAATAATCAAGAAGTTACTCTTATTTGCGCGGAGCGGAATACATTTTTAATGGTTTTTTTGCTAAAATGGGGAAAATAATGAAATGTAGGGGAAATAAATCAAATTTTTGGTTAAAAGTTCTTAGAAGGATAAAAAATTGCCTTTTGATTTCCAATATTTCATTCACTCAATATTATATACACTAAAGTTCTTCGAATTAATGTATAAACTATTTTGCATATGATAAATTTGCACCCTGATCTCTAATCGTTCTCCTTAAATCTATTTAATTGAAATATTTTGTTATTATTACTAAAATTAGGTGGAAAAAATAATCAAAACAGCCAAGAGCTATTTTCCACCTAATTGCTTTATACTTCTACTGTTAATATAATCATCAATTTTGTGATTGTAAACTCTATCTGTATACATTAATCAGGTGTATGTTGAGGTTATATAATTTGTATTCTAAATTGGAGAGTACTTTCTTCGTAACATTGTGAAGAAAGAATTTGTTTAAATCAAAGATTAAATATTGAAGAAATTTTTAAAGGTTACTTAGTAACCCTCTTTTCATGTCTATTCGTACAGTCCTTTTACTCAAAGGAAATAGATAAATTGTTTTTTGAATAAATTGCATGTTTGAAGAGATTCCATTAATTTAATTACATTTCTCCATATAACAAGATTACATGTAAAACTTCTTGAAGCAAGGATAACACGATTCTTCAAAAAACTTTCTCGACTAATATGAAAAGTAATTTTGAGTTCTTCAATGCTAATTAAAGAATTTTATTAGACTTTTCAGAAAAGACAATCCTAACGAAGATAAATAATATTTTATTACTTTAATGTCTCTTTTTCGAGAAAAATGTATCGCTAGAAGTTTGAACGCAATATGTTGCTATCACGGTGATTGGTGAATAATAATAGTCCATGCAAAATTAGACCAGGCACTGTTTCGCCATCAGGCGCACAACTAGGAGGGTGGGGGCCAGCCCCCCCCCCCAAGCCTGATTAAGGGGGGGGCATGCTCCCCCTTGAAATGTTTAGGGGGGCCAAAAAAATGTTTCGCACAACGCGCTAGAAAATTCTTATTTTCCTCTAAAATCTTAGTCCCACATATCAAATTATTGCTGAATTGGAGAGGAGGTTTGATTTTTTTAAAACATTGCTAATCTAGTTTTTCTATTTCAGGGTTAGCTTTGCCACCAGCTCTATGGAGGTTGTGGACAACTTCAACCTGGCGGACTCGGTCTTCGATACATTTATAAACGGAGAGAATATTGTTGTTCAACTCAAAGAGAAGAAATCTAATGGAGCTCTTAAGCTTAGGTAATTATCCTGATCCGGATCCGGATCCAGGTCCTAATTCTAACTGATCCTGATCCTTTTCCTGATCCTGATCCTGATCCTGATCCTGATCCTGATCCTGATCCTGATTCTGATTCTGATTCTGATTCTGATCCTGATCCTGATTCTGATCCTGATCCTGATCCTGACTCTGATAAATATTCAAACTTAGGTTCTGAAATTTTGTGAATACTTAAAATCGTTATTTATCCAGGTATAAAGGAACAGCTCTAGACCTTGAGGTTATCCCAGCTTCTGCTGCCAGGCTTAAGCATTATATGCCGGTTAAGGTTGGATTTTTAATTTATTTATTACAAAAATATATTTCTAGCACAATGAGACAATTTGGTGAAAAATAACATTTGCAAGATTATTTGATAAACCTTTAATAATTTTAATAAAGAACAACATGTCCCATGTCAACTCTCGGATACTCATATTTAATGAGTTTCAGACTTCGGCCATTTTAAATCATTGTTAAGATTTTGGCGGATTTTTCTTTTCGAACTAAAGCATTTTCAACAACAAAAATTCTGACTATTTTACAGGAATTTTTTTCCAATTTTGATGTTCCTTAAACCTTCCCTGGGGTCAGAGGTCCCACACAAAATTTGGGCCCGATCGGTTCAGCCGTTTTGACGTATATTAGATAAAAATAAACAAACAGACAGACAGACATGCAAAGCATGTTCTAATATAATGATATTTTGCCAGGCTGTACTCGACACTAGCCGAGTTATACTGTCTCCTATGCCTGGGGTTGTTAGAAACCTTTCTGTACAAGTTGGAGATAAGGTAGTTGTTCATTTATTCACTTATTCATTGATTCGTTGATTCATTGATTCGTTGATTTATTGATTTATTGATTCATTGGTTCATTGGTTCATTGATTCATTGATTCATTGGTTCATTGGTTCATTGGTTCATTGGTTCATTGGTTCATTGGTTTATTGGTTCATTGGTTCATTGGTTCATTGGTTCATTGGTTCATTGGTTTATTGGTTCATTGGTTCATTGGTTCATTGGCTCATTGGTTCATTGATTCATTGGTTCATTGGTTCATTGATTCATTGATTCATTGATTCATTGGTTCATGGATTCATAGATTCATTGGTTCATTGGTTTATTGGTTCATTGGTTTATTGGTTCAATGGTTTATTGGTTCATTGGTTCATTGGTTTATTGGTTCATTGGTTCATTGGTTCATTTGTTCATTGGTTCATTGGTTCATTGTTTTATTGGTTTATTGGTTCATTGGTTTATTGGTTCATTGGTTCGTTGGTTCATTGGTTTATTGGTTCATTGGTTCATTGATTTATTAGTTCATTGATTCATTGGTTCATTGGTTCATTGGTTCATTGGTTCATTGGTTCATTGATTGGTTCATTGGTTCATTGGTTCATTGGTTCATTGATTGGTTCATTGATTGGTTCATTGATTGGTTCATTGGTTGGTTCATTGGTTCATTGATTCATTGGTTCATTGATTGGTTCATTGATTGGTTTATTGGTTCATTGATTGGTTCATTGATTGGTTCATTGATTGGTTCATTGATTGGTTCATTGATTGGTTCATTGATTTGTTCATTGAACATTGATTGGTTGCTAAATTGTTACATGGCTGCATTATTGCGTTTACTTGTTAATTCATTGATTCAACTTCACGATTTTACTTTTGTTTGTGAAGGTTGGTGAAGGCCAGGAGTGTGCTGTTGTTGAAGCCATGAAAATGCAGAACAGTCTGACCAGCGGAGTAGCTGGGGTTGTCAAGGCTGTTCATGTTAAGGTCAACTTTCACACCTAAAGTTTATTGTTGATTCGTTGAAATAGTTGGAGTTGTGCCGACGCCATGTTTGTTAAGATTTTATGAAACTATTGTGTCCTTTATCATTCTTCCTAACTTCATCGTGAATTTCATAATGAACGTGCTATAAAGTGATCATCTTACTATAAAGTTTGATTAGCTGTATTGATTGGTTCCCGGATTTTCTCCAACAAATTTAAGATTTCCAAAATATTTCTTTTCAACTGAAATGAAAATAAAATCAGAATCAACTAAAGCTCGGGACAAAATTAAGTCTAAAAAGGCTTGAACCCTCTCGATAAAGAGAAAATTTCTGTCCAAAATCTATATAACACTGCGAACCAAAATAACAGTATTATAAATAGTTATTACTAAACTTCGGTGGAAATATTTTTCTTATCAATTCGTGGCGTATGAATGATATTATCATGGGTCATGGGTGTGGGGCCGGGAGAGTTGGAATTATGCTAAGTTCAAAAGAAAAAATTATGTCCGTTTAGTTAAAAATGTGGAATTTTAAAGTAAATTCAATTGTTTTGGTGTTCTTTAGTTTTTAAATTAAACATATTCTAGGGGCGGGGGGCCACATCCCACCCTTAGGAGTCCAGGGGGGACACTACCCCCTACAAATGTCATCTAAAACACGATTATTTATTTGTTGATTTATGTTTTCAATTAATTTGTAAAATTATTAAGGTTGGAGATACTGTGGAGGATGAACAGATAATGATAGAGATTGAATAATTCTTCGCTAGTTCACTTTATAGTTGGATAGGGGTATAATTCTTTCAACACACTCACACTATTACACATCCTTGAGCCATATTTCATTAAAATACATCCTACGTTACATCCTAGACCCTTCCGAATTTGATTTAGCCAATAAAGTACAGTGTACATCCTGTTAGCTTAAATGTGTGTGTATGTACACTAAATCCAATATACAAAATATTTGTACTTCCAAAATAAGTAAAGTTCCAATATTCTTGAGACGGTTAATAAATAGAGTCAAGATTTTTAAAACCTTTCATTAAATAATTTTTAAAAAATTCTGGGCAATTTTCAAAGAGCTTCTAACAGTTAAATTGTCATAAATATTTGGACTGACTATTCTGTATGTAGTAGTGAACCCATTTTAACTTGTAATCTCTATGTAGCTGTATGAACCCTGGTTTCAGATTCTTGGTTTTCAAGAGTAGATTTTATTTAAAATAAAACAAAATAAATTTTTAGAATGCATTTAAATTCATACAGAAACGGTGCTATGTGTTAATATTTTGTAGTCTTAATTTGTTAATAAATAATGGGAAGAAATTAGTTTTCATTAGAATTTATAAATAAAAATATATAATTATGATAATAGAGACATGAACTTCTAGAATAGATTAGTAATATCTTCAATTCAAACTATTTATATTTATTCGTACATAAAGTATTTACTTGAACTATATCTTTATTTAAAAGGGTGTCAGGGGTTTTATAAAAAGTGGTGGCTTCAGTAACTTTCTAAGGTCCTATATAGAAAGAAGAGAGAATATATGTTAATACAATACTTATAAGATATTGTGAATGCGCAGAATAAGCAAGCTTAAGGCATCGAGTAAGGATAAAATATTTATAGATAAATGTTAAGATAAATATTCATGGTGAGAACCAGAAAACTGTGAAACAGGAAGACGACATGTACGCAATAATTGAGTATTTTATTTGGTGTTACAAAGCAAATAGTTGTTCTGAATAAGCTAAATAAGTTAAATAAGCTCATTTAATCCCTAAAATAGGTCTGTTCAATCCCTTATCAACTAAAATGGTCTGTTTACAATGCACATATGTTATGTCTCATGAATTTAATGGACTATTGAAAGTTATAACTTGAGTCTAAAAGTCGTCGTCCTATTCCAGAGTTTTATGGATATCACTGTAATTGTATTTTAAAGATTTCTTTGAAAAGTAACAAGCTACGAGGTCACAAATTTGTACCAGTAATGACACATAGATTTGTTCCTCCAGTCGGGATTTTTCAAATGATTGGATTAAATTATACAGGGTGTGAACGACACCTATGCAATGTTTTCAAGTTTTTGTCTCCTGCATGCATGAGGGGGGGTGCAAAAGTCCATTACCCGGCACCTTGGGTGTACCCCCCCCCCTTTTTTCTTAAATTTTGTATAAAAGAATTTAGTCTCATCTTGCCCCTTTCTCTCTGTACAAATTGAAAATTGAAAACAAAAATGATAAAAATGCATGTGCTTAGACCTCTTTGTAACCTTTATAAAGCAAATTTAGCTCCAAAGTTTCCATTCATTTAATATTTCTTTTTCGCAATAAATGGTTTTTTGGTTTTTCTTCGTTTTTGGCTCAGTTTTGTGGGGGCTATGGGCCTGACATATTGTTTGATTGCATTAAATAGATTAATTAACTTAATTGTTTAAAAAATGTAGTTTGTAAGATCATCTTTAAAATGAAATACATTACTTATAAATATGTGATTCTAAAAAAAGCTTGTTAACAACCCAAACTTTGGTTTAAAAATCGCCTTAATTGTTTTGATATAATCGTCTACCACTGTAGTATGAAAAACCTGTCATTGATATTACACCATGCAAAATTAGAATACAAAACTCATGAAATGATCCACATTTGCGGCAGGTATAAATTTTACAACAGGCCAAATAGGTTGACCATCTATTTGCAACAGCCTAGCTATAATGAGGCAACTACCAGCCCCCTATCCATCGTACCGGACAATTAATTGATTGCTGGCACGTTATGATTTGAGCTCACGCTAACAACCACAAGGGACATAAGCCTAGTATGGCATTGAGTCCATTAGCGCCTGATCCAATCAAGGTTTAATCATGTGTTTGGTGTCTCTTCTGGACCAATAAAAATAGTTTGGCGGTAACAAACATTGTGAAGATAACCTTGCCCTCTCTGTCTGAACCAATCACAATTCACAGGACTTACAAACAAGATTTGCACTGAAACATGATACACAAGCTTCTACTACAGGGTGCCCCAAAAACGTGTATTTCAGGTCATTAAGACACTAAAATCCTCTAAAACACTTAAAATGTGCCTATGTACATTTATATTCTAGAGTCGAGGCCTTTTTATTTACTGTTTGGGGTCCAATGCTTTATCATGGCATATATTATCTAATAAGGCAGGCCTATTTGTTAATTTGAACTTTTTAAAATTCTTTCTAATGTACTCAAATGACCCCAGAGTTTATGGCTGGTTCAGGTTTACTTTAAAAAAAAAATTTTTGGAGGGGGCAATTTTTACTGTTTGTAAAAAATAGTTGAGCGTTAATGGGAAATCCCGTTCATTAACTGGAAAGTTTTCTTGTTAACTACTTCCAGCTCGGCTACAAGGGATACTAGTAGTATTGTACTGAATGTACTGAAGCTGTCGTATGTTTGATCTCCAGCTGTCAATGGTTTTTTCAGTTGGGTATAGAAGCGTCTTTTCAGATGGGGACTTAAAAATTCAAATTTTGTAATATTTATCATGAATTAGTGATTTCATCTCATCTTCAAAATCACTAGGCCAAATTATACGCAACCGTTTACAAAACATTAAAATCTGATTAAATTCAGACAGCAAATAATATAAGAATCTGCTAAAGATTCAAGAGAATCTGATAAATGGCATTGCTGCCAACAATCGTTTACAATTTCATAATCCAGTAACTCGAAATGCAAAGGTTATTTTCTTAAGTCTAATAAGAACAATGTTTGACGATGTTCTGTAATTTAGCTAAATGCTGCTTTAAAAAGATATAAAATAAGAAATCGGATTTCTGTCTGAAGTCGGCAAGCTATAAACCGTATAGAGAAGGACACAAGAGGCACCTATCGATCAAATGTTGAACTGAACTATACTTTATTTTATACAAGTCCTACGCATGCGTAAAGTTAACCTTGTCCTCTCTGCCTGGAGCTGGACCAATCACAATTCATAGGACTCACAAACAGGCTTTACTTCAAGGTTGTATTAAGGTCAGATACTTTAGATACTCTATCATACAGTCTCAGGCGCGCAACTAGGGGGGGGCCTGGCCCCCCCTAGCCTGATTAATGGGGGGCACGCCCCTCCCTTAAGAAGTCTTGCCCCCCCTGTAGGGGGGGAGGGCATTTAGAGATTCATGAATCCTGACCCTGAGCAAATTTAAGAGCTCTTATCGTAAAATAAAAAAAGATAATTGAACGTTAGTTTATTGAGCTTATAGTTTCACTATCAGTTCTGCAATTTTTTATGATATTGCTGTAATACTGTAGTATACAACTATTAAATTAATCCGGTACATGTTATTTATAATCCTACATGTTCACCGCAAATATTGTGTGATGTGTCATATTAAAAAAAAGTATTTTCATGTAAAATTATGAATTTTTAATGAAAGGCATTTCTTGTCAGTTTTTGAGTACAATGTACATATTTGATTTATGGATAACTAATGAAAATTTATA